TGTATCGCTAAAGTTTCTTCGGAAAGAATTTTTACGGAAAATTAACTAACGAACGGAGGCGTAACAATATGTATTATTATGTTTTTATGTGTATGTGTATATTTATAAGTACATTTCTTTGTTTTATATTCATATGTACATACACACTTGTATGTAATAAGTTGTCCAGTTAATTCATCACTTAATTATTGTTGTTTAGGCTCTACCACAGTTTTAAGAGTAATGCATAATAAAATGAAAGATTAAGCAATTTGATTACAATTATTTTAGAAGTTTCAGGCTTGTTGTTAAAATTTCGCTTAATAGTAATAATAATATTAGAAAAATGTTCTTGTACAGCATGTTTCAGTAATTACTTTTATAATTAAAATTTATGTATCTTTTTTTTCAATTACACAAGTATGGATATATATACTAATATCAAAACCATGTCTAGGTTGTAACATCTGAAAACATAGGAAATACATCAGATTTGACAATCCTTGACAAGAAAAATAAAAGTTTATATCCTCAGTAAGTCATAATTTGTTTATGTAAATATTGTTTTTTTTTCACATATGCTTGTTTAATCTTAGTGTTAGTGGGTTTATACAAACATGCTTGGAAATTCAATGTAATGGTGTAAGCTTGCAAAGTATCAAGGATTTCTATATCTAGGCCTAATGGAAATTATTACATTCACATTTGACTGCAGCTAATTTAATTTAATATTCTTCTAGATTACCCTAAGATTAAGAAGAATGTGAAGAAATGCATTTTAAGTTAAGCATGATATAATCACATTTGTTATTATTGAAAGTGTGCATTGTAACTATTGAGTTGATAATTTTTTTTTTTAGTGTTGAATCTCAGAATATTGCTTATTTGTTGTTGAGCACAAAGCTACGTAATAAGCTATTTGTGCTCTGCTCACTGTGGGTGTAAAAACTCAATTTTAACATTATAATTCACCAGTGGAACATGTCAGAATATTTATTGTTATTGTTATGTACATTGTAATATAAGTGAGTGTTATTATGCTATCTAGTCATTATGGGCTAATTTTTTTGTTATTGGTATGTTTCAAAATATTAGTTTAATGCTTGAAATTTTTGAGTTTTTTTTCCTGTTAATTGTAATTTTTGTAATTCTTAATCTGTAATTAATGCCAAAATACATAAGTCAAAATTATTATTTTGTATTATTTCCTGTTTTTTTCTTTTATGAATTTAGTAGTTTAGTAATACATGATTGTTTTCTGAAATGTATGCACATTGATGAATAAATGTTGGTTTTGTGCCAGTCTAATTGTGATGAATGTGTATATATGTATATAAATGAGTGTAAATATCAGACTATTCATATGTTTAGCTCATCTTTAATACTTGCTTGGTTGCATCTGTTATGTTTTAGTACACTATCTGTAATAGGCAAATTATTTTTTCTATATACTCTCATATTGATTTATAGAAAAAAAAAAGTTTCTTTTTCTTGGAAAATTTTCTATCTGGCTAGATAAAAAATTTATTATTTGTTAGGTAATTTACTGTTGAGTTTAATCTCAAAATTGAAAATGTTTTAATAGTGCTTCAGTGAAGTTTATAATAACAATTATATCTTGTTTGAGCCACGAAAAATCCAGCCAATGAATTGTATGTGCTGTTAAATGTTGCATAGCATGTTATCCAGCATTCTGCAAACAAAAACTTTGTTCTTTTTATTTAAGTAAGTCAGACATTAGTTGTATATGTGTGTGTATTGAAATATGAAGAAATTGACCATATTTAATGTCCTAAGGAATAAACTGGACATACTAGTGACCCATTAAGTAGTCAAGATCATGTGTAGCATAATGAAAAGTCTGTGTAATTATTATTGTTAGCAGCACTTCTAGTAAAAAATGTTACATAATTCATGAAAAAAAAACATCAAAAGATTAACTATTCACAAAATTAACTTGTATGTTTAGTTTAATGCTCGCACCACAGCAAGGTAAAGAAAAACGAAAGTATGGCAGTGAACCTATCCAACAGTGCAATTTGAAAGAAACCCAATTAAACACTACTGAAAAGCTTTTAGAAGAAGCATTTAAACAAGCTCTTGATTGTCTTGAAAGGAAGGTAAGTACAAAGGTTTGAGCTGTTGGTAGAATTATTCTGAGTGATGATTTCCTTTGGTTTTGGAGGTTATAGCGTCAAATAACAGTATGCCATTTTTTTATAAAAATTAAATTTCAACCTTTAGTTCGTACTCTTTTGTTTTTCAAGCAGCTATAATTTTCAGTTGGTGATTTAACTAATCAGGAGAAGACTTAATATTTTAATTGGTTTTTACCAAAAATGTCATTTATAGAATTTAGTTGATGTCTTGATTGTTTCTACACAGAAAATGTGTTTATTTTACTTGCTCCATTTGAACTACTTTATGCCTTTATTTTAATCACACCATTTAGACTAGTTTGTACATTTTTAAGGTGTTTATTTTATTTGCTATATTTTGACTAGTTTGTACATTTTTTGCACATTTTTGTTTTTCAAGACTGAAGATCATCTTATCAGAATGAAGGTGGAATTAACAGAAGTACAAACAGAATTAGGAACTATATCATCAACTGGTGAAAAAATACTAGTAGCACCTTCTAGTGATGAAATATGTTTAGAACTTAGGAAAGAACTTGAAAAAGTGCCAGGTTTGTTGTAGTATGCTAATGAATATGAATTCAGAGTGTGTCACATGCACACTTGTTGTTTTTTGTATAATATTAGTCATTTTGTAATGTAATTTTTAAAACGTTTTAAGGTTTATGGATACTCAGTTCTTGTTTAAAAGTAACTTGGATTATATAAACTTTCACCTACTAAAATTATTGGGCATCAGTTAGACTTTATTTTAATGCTTAAAATGCTTTTAGCATAATTTGTAAATACTTATCACAAAGGAGATTTATATATAAATGATGTAGAGATATTTATGCCACAAAGAATATCAAATGTATAGCTATTCTGTTCAGTGCTGCCCTCTATATGCAAATTTTGTCTTTGCATGCCACAATTCTTGAACTCTCACGTACCCCATGATCAACATGGTTTAACTGCGTCTCGCGTGTAAATCATCCTGCGACAACCCTCCAAGCAATAGGAGTGCAACACACCTAACTATGCCATGCCTCCCTTACGGACCTCTCTGCTAGATCTAACTCTGCCTTTTTGTATATGCATTCTAAGGTGTGTTCCATCTTCTCATTTTGACTGATTTCCCATGATACTTTTCCTTCCTTGTTACTTTAGAGTACCTTGTTTTCCTTCCTTTCCCTGATATCAAGATTCATGCTGAGCATTTCATTTTTCAGTTGAGGGCTGGTGTTAGCATGCCTCATCTTCCATGAGCTTATGATCATTATGCTTTGGTTTATCATCAGGCTGATCAACCCTTTCTTGGCTCCCACCAGTTGGTGTCACTTTTGCCAGTGTATGAGGCTGTCCCTGAAAATACCTATCCATTTCTCCCATGCTCAGTTTCTCATTCTCATTTTACCCTTACAGCTCTTCTACAGTACTTGTCCAACATACACTTCCTTTCTGAGGCATTCCAATGATCTTGATCGGTTTGAGGAAATATCTCTTCCTTTCTTACCTCCACGTTGGTGCAATTATCCTCTTCAGCTCTATCCATTCACATGCAGTTTCATTGCTGTTGGGATCTTATTGGGAAGAACACTGTCTTTTCACAGGCTCATCTACCTTCCACTTATCTTCATGACTTACAGATGGCTCCTTTTCTCCATCTCGTTTGAGCCCAACCTTCTCCACTTCATCACCATTTGATGGTGCTTTCAGTTGTCTGTGCATTTAGTGCTCCCTCTGTTTCTGCACTCAAGGTTCTGTCACTTTTGGGGACTTGGGCTTCTCTGGAAACCCTTATTCCTTTGAGTTGGGCACATATGCATTCTCTTCAGTGGATTCTCCATGACCAATGGACTCTTTCTCAAGACTCCTTGGATCCCAAATTACCCTTTCTCCTTCCCTTACAGACAATCTGCATTGGTGGTTGAACAAGGACAATACAACGCTGGGAGTACTGCTTTCTGCACCTTGTACGAATTTTCATCTGTTCACAGATGCCTTTCTCCATGATTGGAGAGCATGGGTACATCATCAGAATGCTTCCAGACAATGGTATCAGAACAAAATGTCTTAGCATATCAATATCTTGGAGCTTCTGGCAGTACATAATGCTTTTGTTCATTTTCTTCCTCTGGTACTGAACTGACACATCATGCCCCATTCTGACAATTCCACCATTGTGGCCTATATCAATCACTAAGAGGCACTTGTTCCTGTTCCCTTTGTGGTCAAACATTAGAACTTCTGTATTGGGCCCAGATACTGCAAATAAGTCTCTTTGCGTGTCATATTCCGGGTGCTTTTCACCTTGTGGTGGATCATTTTTTAAGACCTGACCTGGTTTATTCCATGGAGTACTCTCTCTTGACCCTCAGATTTTCAGGTGGCTATGCAATCAGTGGGGTACACCTCATCTCAGTGCTTTTACCACTTTACTCAAACACCAGGTCACCTCTTTTTTTGGTTCCTGATTCCTCATCCTCTTAGTCAGGACTGGACCAACTAATGCCTTTTGCATTCCTTCTCGTTTTGTAGACCTCCTCATTGTGCTGTTCTTCCAGATTGTAATGTCAATATTGTTCTTTACTGTCTTCCACTCCCTCCATTTGAACTTTGTCCTCTTGTTCCATGTTTCTCCTATCAATTCAAACTTATTCCTATTCCTTTTAGGTTGTGGGCATTGTTGATCTGATATATTTGCTATGGATATTTCATCTACTTCTTCCCCATTCCACATATGTCCTAATTTATCTGGATTAATCTTTCCTACCCAAAACTTTGGTGGCTCAGGAGGGACATTTTTCCTTCTCATCAGTTTCACTTTCATCCATTTCCCAACTTTATTCTTGGTCTGATCCAGATAGAATTCTATGTCCAGTACATGATCTTCATTATTACATTGCCCGCATGATGTCCTTTGGTGGTTCCCATTCCCATCTTTTCATTTCCTGGTACCATTCATCTGTACAAGATCTTTCTTCTTCTACCCTTCCAAGTTGTGTTCATCAACTGATTCGATTGTCTATTCCTTCCTGTTTCTTTCTTCCTGAATTCTGTTCCAGGTGTCATCACATCATATCAGGCACCTTATTTTTTTTTCCTGGCATCTCTCCTCTGTCATCCATTGTAGGAAATTCTTCAGTCAGGCATGAGGACTACACCTCATATGTTCATCTCCCTCTATCTTCATTGGGTAGCTGTTTATTCCTCGTTAGGATTCTTCAAACTTTGGTGTGGTTGTGACTGGGTAAGTTATCTTTTCTATATATATATATTTTTTTTCCCTCCAGTGTCATGTCCCATTTAGAACTAGGATCCCATTCAGGGGCGAATGTTGCCTGTCCAGATATGCTTCCTATTTCTCAAATCTGCACTGTATGGCCAAGATGTATAACCATGGCTAATGATGCACACTGTTAAGATGGGGTGTTCCACAAGATTGCTAATAGGTTTTCTTGTAAATATATTTGCTTCATAAATATGCCTGTTCCAGACCATACTAACCTATGGACTTACTTTAGTAAAGCAAAAGTGGATAGCTGACCATCCTTGGCATCCA